GAGGGGGCTGCAAGCTGACGAAGGGCGATCCCTGGCGCCATAGGGATTTAGCTGTTGCCCGAGTGGATCAGACCACGGGGCCACTTGGCCTGCTGTCCGGCCTCCTGCTTGTGGGGGAGAGGTGAGGCTACAGAGTTAGCGCCCCACTTCCACCCCCCACACCTCAGTCCCCTTCCTCACCGCCTAGCAAGATGGCACCTGGCATCAGTGTCGGGGCGGGGGGTGGGTAGAGTGAGGGCAGTGGCTTCAACAGATGTTACTGAGCATGCTCAGTACAAGCCAAGCAGCAAATCTGTGGGCACGTGTGACCCTACATGCACCCCCAGGCGTGGCCTCTGCAGAGGGTGTATTAAGTCAGCAGTGGCGCTGGAACAATTTTTAGAGTGGGGCAGCCCCCCACACACACCGTACCCCGTCCATGCCCCTCACTGCCCCAGGCAGGGGCCACAGCTGTAGACAGCAGCGGAGCCCCCAGCCGCTGAGACCCTGGGGTGGAGAGTGGAGCCCACAGGGCCAGCAGCAGGACCCGCTGGAGCTAGCAGCCAGGATCCCGGGTGGCAGTGGGGCTCCCGGACAGGGCTGGAGGCTGGGAGCCCGGCACAGAGCACAGCATTTGCTGGGTGCTGCCCTATTTCCCATGCTTATGGGAGTCAGCAAGGTCACTGCTGGCAGACAGCAGCTCCTGCTCCCCCCCTCTGCCCCTGCACAGAATCCTAGAACACTAGGGCTGGAAGGGGCCTTGAGAGGCATCGAGTCCAGCCCCCTGCCCTCCCGGCAGGACCCAGCACCGGCTAGATCATCCTTCAGGGATGTCTGTCCAACCTGCTCTTCAATATCTCCAGGGATGGAGATTCCACACACCCCCCAGGCAATTTATCCCAGTGTTCACCACCCAGCCAGGAATTCTCTCCTAAACCTCCCTTCGTGCAGCTCACGCCCGTTGCTGCTTGTCCTGTCGCCAGAGGCCAAGGAGAACAATTTCCCCCTCCTCCCCTGTGACTTGAAAACCGCTCTCCTGTCCCCTCTCAGTCTTCTCTTTGCCAAACCAAGCAAGCCCAGTTCCTTCAGCCTTTCCCCCTAGCTGGGTTTTCTAGACCTTTCATCATTTTTGATGGCACAGCAGGGTGGGAAGGAGAGCACGTGAGACCGTTTCTCCCTCCCACATGTTGTCGGAGGTTCCCCAGCTCTTCTCCCCCCCCCCCCCCCCCGGCTGAGCCGTGCACCTGGGCAGCTGTCTGGCCTGACACTAAGCAGGGGAGAGACTCACGCTGCTAAAATTAGCTCAGAGGCAGCAGCGTGATCGCAGACAAACAGGCCTTTCTAGCCAGCCTTTGGTGGAACAATCGGCTCTTTTGACCTACATGGCGGGGGGCGGGGAAGTCCCAGATCCGCTGTGCCTGAGACAGTCGCCCAGCACGACGTATTGGCGTATTGTAGGACGTTGTGGGATTTGGTTGGGAAGGGGCAATGGAGCCTTGCACGGAGGTTGTGGAGCCTTTTCACCTCTAGGCCGGTTGTCTGAATGACAAGGGCTGGGTTGTGGCCTCTCTGAGTGATGCATTGGGCTGCTGATCCCTCCCCTGGTACCCGATGGTTCAGTGTCGAAAGAGACCGTCGGGGCCCTAATGAGACTGGGCCGGGGGCTGCAGGTGCCATCGACGGTGACCTGGAGGAACCCAGGAAAAGATCTTGAACCAAGAGTGTCTCGAGAGTTAACACACCGGAGCGTCTGTGGGCTCGTGGCACGGCACGGCCATCCGCAGGTCCGGGGGGGCTTCCAAGGGGCCAGACCTCCGGAGATCCTGGGAATCTGGCACGTCACGATCACCACCTGTGCCAGGCTGAGCCCACCGCAGCCCCAGCCCCTGTAGCTGCTCCCCCACCCCTAGCCCCCACCTCTGCACAGTGCACGTGCCGCACCCGGACTAGAGCGCTCCTGTTGGAGCTCCGTGTTGGCCAGGGCCAGGGTTTTCCTCCTAGGTGCAAGTCCTGGGATGAACCCTTCAACGCGAACCCTCTGCCGGTGAATTATTGAAACCTCTGTGCAGCGTTTTTCAGAAATGGAGCGCGCCCGGGCCAAGCCCCCCCCCCCCCCATTAGAACCAGGCTCTCTGTGCACATTTCAGGTGCGCGGGGCTGGGGTCAGCTGGCCCAGCCTTGGCAGGGCTTGCAGGGGGGACGGGTATATAGATAGAGCCTGCCTCTGATGTTTCAGTGTGTGACCGGCACCGAGGGGAGGGAGGGAACCTTTGTTCAAGGTCAGCCCAGCGGGAGCCCGGAGACAAAAGCTTGCTGCTGTGCAGCATGACTGAGGAGTCCGCGCACTGGGCGTGGCCGCCAGAAAGGCCCCGTGTCTCTGAGTCTGGGGGAGGGGGGAACCCGGTTAGCAAGGGGGAAGGGAGATCTGGTTGGACTTGGAGTTTGCCCCTGGGGGAAGAGGAGAGAGGAGCCTGGTGGAAGAAGGGGGGGTACTGTGGGGAAGTGAGTATCTGGGGGGGACCTGGGGGAGATGTACCTGGCAGGAGGGGAGGGTACCATGGCTGAGCCTGGTTCGGGACTGTCACATGCTCCTGCCCCTTGGGTTCCTGGTGCCGCTTGCTAACGCCCCAGCCTGCAAGAGACAAGCGCTACCAGAGGCAGAGGGGTGAGAGCTGGGGTGGCCGTGGCTGCTGGGGCTACCGAGGCTGGAGACCGAGGTGACAGGCGTAGAGAGGCGGGGCCGCGATAGCAAGTGAAGCGCCAGGTCGCGGAGAACTGAACCCTCACGCCCCTTGTTCCCCGTGGTCCCCAGCTTTGCCTGCCCACGGCGATCCACTGAGCAGTGAGGGACGGAGGGAAAACTCCCAGGCCGGCCAGAGAGCTCTAGGGCTGTGGTGCCGGATTCTCCAAGGAGCAGAGGCTGCGGGTGCGGGGTTGACGTGCCCCAGTTCAAAGCCACGAGGCTCCCACACAGGGCTCTGGGGCAGGACCTTGCTCAGCAGCGCCCTCCAATCCACGACAGCCACGGGAAGGGTTCTCTTATCCTGCCTCCGTGCTCAAGCCTCCAAGTAGCATCCCCAGCCGGCCGGGCCCCAGGCCTGTGTGCCCTGCCCCGGCTGCCACGTGACCCGGTTCCTTTCTCCCTGCCCGTCCGAGTAGGTGGCTGAATTGGAGCTGCAGAGAGCCCATAACTCCTCCCCCGAGGGCAGCAAGGAGGAGCTGAGCCAGACGCTGGAAGAGCTGGAGCTGCTGATCAAGGCCAAAGACGAGGTAACAGCAGAGGCGCAGATGGTGGGGCAGTGCCGGGGCGGCCTGACCGCAGCGCCCCCAGGGAGGTCACTAGGACGAGGCCCAACAAGGAGTGAATCTCCCCCCATGCTACCCTCTGCCTCCCTCCCTCCCTGGCCGGTGGAATCCCAGACCCATATTTCCTCCTGGTCCGGTCTCTCCGCTCTCAGGGGGTACGTCTACACTAGCTCGTTAGTTCGAGCTAGGTAGAGTAATGAGGGCAAGCGGAGTTGCAAATGAAGCCTGGGATTTAAATATCCCGGCTTCATTTGCATGTTCCCGGGCGCCGCCATTTTTAAATCCCTCTTAGTCCGAACTCAGTGCCAGAGACTACACGCAGCACAGAGCAGGTAGTTCGAATTAAAGATCCTAATTCTAACTACCGTTACTCCTCGTGGAATTAGGATCTTTAATTCGAACTACCTACTCTGTGCCGCGTGTAGCCTCCAGCACGGAGTTCGGACTAAGGGGGATTTAAAAATGGTGGCGCCCGGGAACATGCAAATGAAGCCCGGGATATTTAAATCCCAGGCTTCATTTACAACTCCGCTTGCCCTCATTTGCCTACCTAGCTCGAACTAACGAGCTATTGTAGATGTACCCAGGGTGAGTTCTGCCCTGGGCCCAGGGGGAAAAGACTAGAGCCCCGTGTTCGCACTCTGATAATGGCCCCAAGTGGAATAGTCAGAGCGCTTTGCTCTGTGGCACTGGGCCGAATCTTACCAGGACGGCCCCAGCCTCCATCACCTTGGAGAACATAAGAACAGGCAGACTGGGGCAGACTAAAGGTACATCCAGCCCAGTGTCCTGTCTGCCCACAGTGGCTGATGCCAGGGGCCCCAGAGGGAGGGAACAGAACAGACAATCATCAAGTGATCCCTCCCCTGTCATCCACTTCCAGAGAAACAGAGACTTGGGACACCATTCCTACCCACCCTGGCTATTAGCCATTGAGGGACCTAACTTTCATGAAGTTAGCTCTTTTTTGAACCCTGGTAAAGTCCTAGTCTTCACAACATCCTCTGGCAAGGAGTTCCGCAGGTTGACTATGCGCTGAGTGAAGAAAAATTTCCTTTAGTTTGTTTTAAACCTGCTGCCTATTAATTTCTTTTGGTGACCCTTAGTTCTTATGTTATGGGAACAAGTAAATAACTTTTCCTTATTCACTTTTTCCACACCAGTCATAATTTTATAGACCTCTAGCATCTCCCCCCTTAGTCTTCTCTTTTCTAAGATGAAAAGTCCCCGTCTTTTTAATCTCTCTTCATATAGGACCCGTTCCAAACCGCTAAGCATTTGTGTTGCCCTTTTCTGAACCTTTTCCAAAGCCAAGATATTTTTTTTGAGAGAAACCCGAGCACATCTGGACGTGGTATTCAAGATGTGGGCGTCCCATGGATTTATAGAGCCAATAAGATCATCTCTGTCTTATTCTCTATCCCTTAATGATTCCCAACATCCTGTTTGCTTTTTTGACTGCCGCTGCGCACTGAGTGGATGTCTTCAGAGAACTCTCCTCAGTGACTCCAAGATCTCTCAGAGGATTTCCTGCCCTTTAACAACCCTAACCATTTCCCCTAGTCCCTGTTGGCTTTGTGCAGGCCCCTCTAGCTCTCTCCTGTGAAAGTACCGGCCGGTGGGGCTACCCTTCACCAGTTAGCCTGGGGAGCAGATATTGGCCAAGGCCCTGAGCTCTTCTGCGTGGGAGGTTGGTTTCCCAAGAAGAGGGTCCACAGCTCAGCCCTGGAAGGGCCCCCAGTGGCCTCCTGGCCTGCTCCCAAAAGAGAACTAAGGCTGAATAGGTGTGAAACCTGAGGGTCCCCATGGGAAGGCTCCTGTTCCCAGGCCGGGGCATCAGACAGCCCCTTCCTCTCCTCCCTTCCCACCCACAGGA